TGCTTTCCTAATTTCTATAATAGTAAAATGACTTTAATTTTATTCTTTCTTATTCATTTGAATCACAAGTTCCCAGTTTCATTTAATTTTGTTTTCCTTCACCATACCCTGAACTTACCCTAAGGAGCCATATTGTGGGAGTGAAATACAAAATCCATTCTTCCAGTTGTACATGAGTCAAAATTAAGATAACTGTATATTCCAGTTTTCCTGGGATAGTCCTGTTTTATACTTGTCCTAGAATGTGAGAAATTTTACAAAAATGCATCAAGAAATTGTCAGTTTAATTCAATTGCCACTATTCAACATTTTTTCACTCAGTTGCCTTTTAGAAAGTAACTTCTATGCTGAGAAAACAGTGATGTTTCTTTAGTTTCCTTGGGCTATTAAACTACATCTAGTGGGATCAATACAGTGTTTCACACATTTCTCTTCCTATTATCTTCAGCAAAAACAAAAGTGAAATGGCCTATAGACAAGGCATTAGGAAAAAGTAAGTTCTAAAAATTAAAAATATGTTGTTTTAGTAAATATCCTACATTAAATAAATAGCACAGATGTAAATGTGTATATTTTTTTATTGGATTCTAGACTTTCTTATGTATTCACTATATTCCCATCTTTGAGTAATGTAAGTGAAAATTTATATATACCCCAGTATCATGATGAGCATTTATGTATACTAGGTGCCTTTTCTAGGTTCAGGAATATAGTGGTTAAAAAAGTTTAAAGGACAATATTCATGCCTTACTTATTATACAAATAAATAAGCAATATATAATACAATATCAATTAAAGATAATAGGAGGAAAAATAAAGTGACATCTTTACCATGCATTACCTCTTTTTATTTTTTTTTAAATTGACTACAGTGAAAACTGGAAATCCATATGCATCAAAATGAAACTGAATCCCCTCCTCTCGCCATGCACAAAAGTTAACTCAAAGTGGATCAAGGAGCTTGATATCAAATCAGAGACTCTACGTCTGATAGAAGAAAAAGTTGGCTCCGATCTACATATTGTGGGGTCGGGCTCCAAATTCCTTAATAGGACACCCATAGCACAAAAGTTAATAACAAGAATCAACAAATGGGACCTACTTAAACTGAAAAGTTTTTTCTCAGCAAGAGAAACAATAAGAGAGGTAAATAGGGAGCCTACATCATGGGAACAAATTTTTACTCCTCACACTTCAGATAGAGCCCTAATATCCAGAGTATACAAAGAACTCAAAAAATTAAACAATAAGAAAACAAATAACCCAATCAACAAATGGGCCAAGGACCTGAACAGACACTTCTCAGAGGAGGACATACAATCAATCAACAAGTACATGAAAAAATGCTCACCATCACTAGCAGTCAGAGAAATGCAAATCAAAACCACCCTAAGATTCCATCTCACTCCAGTAAGATTGGCAGCCATTATGAAGTCAAACAACAACAAGTGCTGGCGAGGATGTGGGGAAAAGGGTACTCTTGTACATTGCTGGTGGGACTGCAAACTGGTGCGTCCAATTTGGAAAGCAGTATGGAGATTCCTGGGAAAGCTGGGAATGGAACCACCATTTGACCCAGCTATTGCCCTCTTCGGACTATTCCCTGAAGACCTTAAAAGAGCGTACTACAGGGATACTGCTACATCGATGTTCATAGCAGCACAATTCACAATTGCTAGACTGTGGAACCAACCCAGATGCCCTTCAATAGATGAATGGATAAAAAAAATGTGGCATTTATACACAATGGAGTATTATACAGCACTAAAAAATGACAAAATCATGGAATTTGCAGGGAAATGGATGGCACTAGAGCAGATTATGCTTAGTGAAGCTAGCCAATCCCTAAAAAACAAATACCAAATGTCTTCTTTGATATAATGAGAGCAACTAAGAACAAAGCAGGGAGGAAGAGCAGGAAGAAAAGATTAACATTAAACAGATACATGAGGTGGGAGGGAAAGGGAGAGAAAAGGGAAATTGCATGGTAATGGAGGGAGATCCTCGTTGTTATACAAAATTACATATAAGAGGTTGTGAGGGGAATGGGAAAATAAACAAGGAGAGAAATGAATTACAGTAGATGGGGTAGAGAGAGAAGATGGGAGGGGAGGGGAGGGGAGATAGTAGAGGATAGGAAAGGTAGCAGAATACAACAGTTACTAATAGGGCATTATGTAAAAATGTAGATGTGTAACCGACATGATTCTGCAATCTGTATTTGGGGTAAAATTGGGAGTTCAAAACCCACCTGAATCAAATGTATGAAATATGATATGTCAAGAGCTTTGTAATGTTTTGAACAACCAATAAAAAAAAGAACATAAAAAAATAAATAAATAAATAAATAAATTGACTACAGTGGATTTCCATTACAGGTTGAATATCCCTTATCTGAAATGCTTAGGACCAGAAGTGTTTTGAATTTCACATTTTATCAAATTTTGGAATATTTTCATATACATAATGAGATATTCTTTGAGGGTTGTGCTTGCAAAGGAAATCTGGGCACATTCAGAAAAGATACATTATAGCTAAAGAGGGCTGGGAGCATTCTTTCTCCTTTCGGGGATACAAAATGAATTGTGTACGTGTCTGAGGTTTGACTGTGACCTGTCAAATTAGGTCAGGTGTGCAATTCTCCACTTGTAGAATCCTGATTGTGTTCAAAAACTTTCAAAATTGGAGCAGTAAGGATTTTAACATTTTGGATTGGGAATGCTTGACTTGCACTTACAGCCAAAAGGAGTCTTAGTAATTACACTCTTATCTAAAAAAGTTCCCTTTTATCATTTGCCAACTATATTCCAAGTTGTGACTTCCTGCTTAGCCAGGTGATCTATTCCAGGAGTTCTCAGAAATTTCTAAAGTAATTTCAGAATAGCAACCATAAGTGAACAAAGCAGTATTCAATGGTTTAATCGTAAACCACTTCCTTACCACCTTTCAATCTTCATATAAGAAGAACAGTTTTCCTCCTAGACATCTCTTTACAATGAATGCCACCTGTCCTTTGGGACTTATTTTCAGTCAGAAGACACCAGCAAACTATATCTTTGCATCCTCTGCATCCTTGGTCTCATGTACATGAAACAATGAAAATGTGGTCCACCCCCTTGGATCTTGGAAGAGTATAACCTTGATTTAAGAGCAGGATCCATTCTGGAATGAGACAGATTCTGATGATGGAGGCTTGTTACATAATTTCTAGCCCTACACATTTCAATATTCTTTATCCAAAATCTATATGTCAGCACCCCAAAAGATTGTCCTATTTTGTAGATGTCTATGAGCAACTAAGACTTCTAGATCTTTTCGACCAAGCAGCCCAGGAAGGATGGAAATAGCAAATTCTCAAGACTTCTTTGAATAAAAAAATATAAGAAAAGAATCTATAGAAAGCCCTTGGCCCCAACATTGTATATTCCTCCAAAATTTATCCATGATTGTTCATTTTGACCTTTCCCTTTGGCCAGAAGTCTGTCAGTATAGTTTGAAAATGTTGCTCAATTTCAAGAATAAACCATAGCTCTTTAGTCATATTTGCAGTAGAAGTAGACCTGTGATGAAATTCAGTGAACCTCAGCACTCTCAAGTCTAGGAACAGATATCCCAGGAACCGGGAAGTTGTTAAAGTATGCTCCCCAGGAGCTGGATGGGGTTGGGAATGTAGTGGGTTAAATCAGGTTTATCAGTTTACACGTTTGTTACCATGAAAATTCCCCCTTCACATTCTGAAAACAACAAGGACCATAACAAAACCCACTTAGTATATTTCCACTGGCCTGTATAATACTGTGGTTCCAATGGCATGTGTATGCATATCATATATCATACATACATATATCTATATCTATATCTATATATCTCTCTCTATATATCTATATAGCATACATATGGTATATAATTTTGTCTAATAAATATTGTAGACTTAAGTCCATGTGTGACACAGGACTTTATAATCTTATTTCAAAAAACCCTAGGGTTAAGAGGAATAACATTATAAATTGCCAATGTGGTTTCAACCTTGTGATCTACACTAGTTAGAGGAGGGGCATCAGCAGATTGGAGAAGTGTGTGCACTGCATAAGGAATATGGAAGCTGGTCAGCTTCTGCTGCTTACCCAGGGCCCACACAGCTCACTCTCTGTGTAGTCCCATGTTCTGAATCTCTGCCACCATCTTGCCATTTTGTCTCCGATGATATAAGCAATCCCCAAACCTTGGTTTCGAGCTTAGTGATAGTGCTAGGGTGGTTAGATATTCTGAAAAGCTTCCAGGTTGGTGATTCCACTTGTAATCACCTAAATATGCTGGATAAAGAAGAAAATAAATAATTTAAAATCCATAGCTAAGTCAAAAAGAAAGTTTGTGAAATTGTCAAAGTGCAAAAAATACAGCCGGGGCACCAGTCCAGGGAGGTGAACCTATCGCTGATGCATGCTGCCATCCAATGTCATGTATGTGTCTGTAACCAACAACCTTCGAAAACAGCCATCGGCCCAGGAAGGGTGAAGTGGAATGTAAATCTCTAACTAAAATTTGGACTCCTCAAATGGTTATTCCTCAGTGAAATGGTGAAGGAGACTGAAATTTGCCTTTCAAATACTAAATTAACTTTTCTGTCTTGGTTTTAGATAAAGAAAAAAATTGTGGCTCTGGAAAAGACATTTATGTGAAAAAGACATTATTCTTAACTGTTGATGTCTCAGAAGGAATCCAACTTTTATTTTATTGAGAAAATAATTTGATTAGCACAGTCCTTAGAGTCTTTTTCTGACAAATCTGGCACACAAACTCCTGGCTCAGCGGAGTTCACAGGAACTTAGGGCTGCCAATGCCTTTATCTACTTTGTTTCCCCCTGAACACCAAGCCTGGGAAAGTCCTTCATGGACCCAGGTGGCCCATGATTTCACAGGTAATTAGGAATTTTGAAATCTCTTGATGAGAATTACTGTTTAATTTGTTAAGTGTTAAATATTTGGATTTAAATCAGAAATAGAAAATTAGATATTGAGTGAAACTACAAGCAAATTAAGTCCCAACGTAGCCTGGAGGTAGCATGTGGCCATATATTTTGGTCTCTGGGTAGCTGTGCAATGTTCCTGAGCTACACGACTCCATTTGGACCTTGGTGCCACCTGCTCCTGTGACTGCTTCCTAGCACTGGCCTCTGTGGACAGGTTGGTCTCTGTCTGGCTTCTGCATCCGCTGTTAACCTGGTCACACTCCTGACAGGGCATGGGAATAGCTTCATCTCTTCTGGAGATCTATGGATTCTGAGACCCATCTCATACTTTCAAATATGTATATGTATGAAGAAGTTGTATGTATGAATATGTATATGTATGAAGAAGTTGTCAGGATTATGTATACTAAGAAAGAAAAAAATATTAGCACTGATTTACACTGTGCTTGCCTCTTAGAATCAGGTTTTTTTTTTTTTTTTTTCAAATCAGTGATTTTTTAAAAGAACTTGTATTAAAATGAAACATAGGGATCATCTGGAAGCTTAGCAGGAAAGAAAGAAAAAATGGAGATAAGTGGCAAAATATCTGTTAGTATATAAGAAATGAAATTGAAATATGTAGAGCTGTTAAGATTTGGATGTGAGGTGTCTCCAAAGCTCCCAATATTTTGCAAACATTGAACTGGTGAGGAGAGAAGTGTAGCAAGAACAATCCTGAGAGGTGTAATAGGGACTCTTTCTTAGGCTCTTGTTTCAGTCAGAATTTTGACTGCTGTGAGTAAAAGTCCTAACAAGAATAATTTTAGAGGAGGACAAGTTTATTTGGGGACTCACAATTTCAGAAGTCTCAGCTCTGTCTCACATGTGAGATGATGCAAGAAGGTTTAGAGAAGAAATGATTGGGTTTTGAGAGCCTTAACCTAATCAGTGAATTAATCCCCTGATGGAATTAACTGAATGGTAACTGAAGGTGGGTAGATGTGGCTGGAGTAGGTGGATCCCTGGGGGCATGCCTTTTGGGTATATATTTGTATCTGGTGAATGGAGTCTCTCTCTGCTTCTTGATCCACATTAGTTGCTTTCCTCGGCCATACTCTTCCTCTCAACTCTGAGGCATGGAGCCAGCTGTCTATGAGCTGAGACTTCTGAAATTGGGAGTCCCCAAATAAACTTTTCCTCTTCTAAAATTATTCTTGTTAGGACTTTTACTCACAGCAGTGAAAAATCTGACTGAAACAAGAGCCTAAGAAAGAGTCCTTGGTACACCTCTCAGGATTGCTCTGCCTACACTTCTCTCCTCACCAGTTCCATGTTTGCAAAATAAAGCAGTCTCCTGTGGGGGTTCATTTCAAGACTTCTAGTGGATTCCTGGATATTGCTGATAGTATTAAGCTTTACATACAAATACCACATTCTGATGATAACGGGAGATGGCTAAGGGGTGAGGAATAGAAATGTAAACAGCCTGAACATGCTGTACAGAGGGATATCTCACATCCCAGGCTAGTTGGGGCAGGACAGCCAGGGATTTCCTCACACTACTCAGAATAATACTACATTTAATATTTATTGAGCCCACAGTCAAAGCCATGCAATTGAAAAACTTATACATGGTTTACTTCTGGAATTTTCCATTTAATATTTTCAGACCGGCCACAGGTAGCTGAATCCATGGAAAGTGAAACAGTAGAGAGGAGGACTACTGTATTCTTGCATTTCATTTGTCCCTCCAGTCCCTCATTCTTACCCAATAGCCCTTAATGTGGTCAAAAAGGGAAATTCTTTAAAGAACTGAAATGTCTGCAGGCTTTAAGGGCATTAACATACAGATTTTCATTAAAAGAAGAAGAAGAAAAAAGAGGAAGAAGAGGAGGAGGAGGAGGAGGAGGAGGAAAACAATGAAGTCAGTGTTTCTCAATGGTCTTTCCATCTTTGCATTTTTTACCCTCCTCCAAAGCCATTTTAGAAAGCTTCCTCATCACTCTTCTCCTAAGAAATTTGAATACCAGAAATTCTGTGTATCTGTTTTATGTTCTGTCATCTTTGGAAGGGCCCCCAAAGGGCACATGGTCCCATCGAGTTAAGTGAACAGCTCTGCTTTCAATACCATCCTAATTAGCATGAAATAGTAAAAAGAATACTCCACTTGTAGTCACTTTCCTATGGAGGATTAGAATACCAACTCTACTCTGTGTATCTCTGTTATTCTAGAAAAAGTAATCAATTTCCTTGAATGTCAATTTTCTCACATATAAAACGAGGAGGAGGTTAAAATAACAAGTAAGCAAACAAACAGAACTAAAAATATCTTATCTATCAATATCACAGTGTGTTGTGAAAGAAATTTTTCCTGAGATAATTTAATTTATCAAGTCAGGGCACTCCACATGCTGGCCTTTCATCTCTCTTCACAAAACCAGGGTGTCATTAACATAAAAAGAACCTCTAGTGTTTGCACAGTAGCAATGCACTTTGGTATTTTAGTTAAGCAAGCAGCCAGATAATAAATTTCTTTACCAGGGACTTTGTCTAGGAATAAGGGAGGAGAATTTGTGCTTAATGGAGGAAAAGCCATGAAGGAAAGTCTTGGAGTATTTTTCCCTTAGAAACTCTAAAACCAACATTAAATATTGACTTCAGTGAATTATTTGCAAACAAGGGCTAGATCAGGTGATTGCAAACAATTCCTCTACAATTTAATTCATTGCTCTTCTATAAGAAACCTAATTATCTTTAGATACCCTAAGATTTCAATGTTAACTTTTATTTCTAACCCTATTTTGTTAAGTATAACACCTATATGTTAGTATTATAAAACACATTTAATTTTCAACTCAACAACTTTGAAAATATACAATTGGTTGAAAAATAATACTACATTTAATATTTATTGAGCCCACAGTCAATGCCAGGCCCTGGACTAGTTGTATTACTGTTATGGTTTTCAGTCTTTTAGTAGCTCATGGCATTAGTGTTACATACTCTATTGGTTTTCTATAGTATGTCGATCATTTTCTTTTCAATAGCCCCTGGCCTTGCTGTTTTATTTCCCATGCTTATAGTTACCCTCAGTCAATGATGGTACAAAAATATTAAGTGGAAAGTTCCAGAAATAAACAATTCATGAGTTTTAAATTGCATGCCATTCTGAGAACCATTCTCATGCTGTCCTGTTCTGTATCATCTGGATGTAAATCTTCCTTTTGTCCAGATTATCCACACTGTATACACTAACCAACCACCCAGTAGTTACTTAGTAGTTACTTCTTATCAAATATATAATATCATGATGCTTGTGTTCCCTTAATATGGACCCCAAAGCACAGGAGTAATGATGTTGATATTTTGGGTGTGTCAAAGAGAAGCTATAAAGGGCTTCCTTTAAGTGAAAAGGTGAGAGTTCTTGACATAATAAAAAAAATAAAAAAATAAAAACATATGCTGAGGTTACTAAGATCTATAGTAAATATGAATGTGCTGGGGCTGGGGGTATGACTGAGGGGTAGAGCTTTTGCCTAGCATGTGTGAGGCACTGAGTTTGATCCTCAGCACCACATTTAAAAATAAATAAATAAAAAGATATTGTGTTCGCCTACAACTAAAAAATATATTTTTTTAAAGAATGAATGTGCTATTTATGGTATTGTAAAGAATAAAAAGAAATTTGTGCTAGTTCTGCTGCTGCATTTCAAAGTGCAAAAGTTATGGCCCACCTGTGCATAAGTGCTCAAATAAGATGGAGAAGGCATTAAGATTTGCCTATGGAGGTACAGGAAAAAAACAGGGTTTTCTATTATCCATGGTTTCAGACATCCACTGGGGGATAGAACTTATCCCCCAGTGATAGGGAAGGACCACTGGACTCTAAATTCTGTGGTCAACAGTTTGGTCTGAGCTCATCTGGGCAGTTCTTCTGCTGGATCTTGCTTAGGGTCACTCATATGGCCTCAGTCCAAAAGTGGATTGACTAGAGACTCCTGGTCTAGGGAGCCTTGCTGAAAAATGGCTCTTTTCTGCTATATGTGGTCACTCTCTCCAGAGGTCTGCCTGGGCTAGGCCTCATGGCTGCTGCATACCAAGAGGGCAAACATGGAGCCTGCATGGCTGCCTGAACATGAGATTCAGAACTCACAGATCACTTCCTGGAAGCGTACTAGTCAAAGCAAGTCACAGGCCAGCCCAGATTTAGGCAGGGTGAGGATGGATTCCATCTCTTCATGGTAGAACTGTCAAGGATTTGAGGCCTTTGAAATCTGTTTCACATGCTTTCACAGATGAGTGATCTAAGATTCAGAGGGATTGTGTAACACACCTAAGATCTCAAAGCCAGCTGCTGTGCAGTAGCAGGGATAAGCTCTGAATTCAGATTTTTATGATTTCCATGCCTTCTTAACCACATAGCATTCAATTGTGCTTCATGCACATCTGAATTTCTCAAAGCACTTGTGGTCTGAATTGAGCATTGACAGTCGCCTCCCTCCATCCCCAGGAGACATCATATATTGAAGACCTAATCCTTGGTACCTCAGAATGCGAATGTATTTGGACATAGATCTTTAAAGAGATAATTAAATTAAATGAGTTTATTAGATTGAGCCCAAATTGACATGATGTTGTCCTTGGAACAAAAGGTTAGGATATAGACAGCAGGAATAGGGGAGACCAGGTAAAGACGGAGGGCAACCAACTCTGCTGACACCTTGGTCTCAGATTTCCAGTCTCCACAATTGTGACAGAAGAAGTTTCTGTTGTTTCAGGGACCCAGTCTGGGGTGCATGATTAAATGTTATGGCACTGTCACACAGATGGGCTCATCAGTGTTTGTACTGACTTTACAGGGCTGGTAGGTTAAGTACTACAGTCACTCGTATTTGATCTGACATACTTGAAATCACTCAGTAGGGCCTGCTAGTGGGGAGACCCCATCAGAAAAAGGTCTTTTTTGGGTTTGGGCACAAGATTTTCTCTTCTAAATCAAGACTCATGATTCATTTCTAACCTCCAATTTTCTCTTGTGGATATTCCTGCTGTTTTCTATGAGAAACTGATAATTTGATAATCAAAGCACATTAAATCTGTTTTTTTTTCTTACTAGGAAGGTAAAAACTGTGCTATTTGTTATTTATTTTCAGAACTCTCCTAGTTAACACTTTTTGCTTTTGCTTCTGCCTACTTTATTATTATTTTTTTCTTCACTCCAGACCAATTAAGTCAGAATGTGCATTTTGACAAGTTCCTGCAGGTGATTTTGATCACACCAATGTTTGAGAAGAGCTGTATTAGTGAACCTCATGAAGAGTTTATCTTTTACTTAGTTTGGCACCTACAACGTCCTGAGAATATTCTTACCTCATAGACGGTCATAAATCTAAAATAGTGAACTGCAATTGTAGAGATAACAAGCTAGAAGAGAGTTGGATTTTAACCACCTTATTCTAGCAGAAAGGAATCAGGTAAGCTTTACAGGGTATAGTATTAAAGAGAAAGAAGAATGGAAATTGAAAAAGGGAATGTCCATTCTAGGGACATGTCTGTCCTCTCTTGTTCTCTGATTGCTCATTTGTAGAGGATATGGTGAAAGCTTTGACATTCCCAGTCCTGTCCTACATCTGTCTCCAGCCTTACTATTGTTGAATGAGTGATGTAGTTAAACCATTTTTCAGTGCTAGACATAGGAGGGGTTTTTCCTTGCTGAATGTGCCAAGCCTGGGTCCTTTAAAGATTTTTGTCAATTATGTGAATGAAATGATAGAACAAAGGTTCTTGTGTTCCTAAGAACTCAAATCTGGGAGAATGTGGTAAGGGCCACTAGTTATCCCTCACATCTACTTTTATCCTCTTAATGACAGAAGTGTTCTCTTTGGTCTGACACATAGCTGCCCAAAATACAGGTCAAAATTTTCCGCCTTCCTTGCATCTAGATGTGGCCACATGGCTAAGTTCTTACTAACAGCAGTATAGGCCAAAGGATTTTATGGAAGTGAAACTTTTGGTGGGAGGAGGAGAGGGCCACCTTAAACGGACTGGTTCTTGGTTCTTTCTGGCTTCCTGTTGGCTGGGAAATGGATGTGACAGCTGGAGATCATTTTCATCTTGGACTATGAAGTGGAAGAGGTATGTAAGTGGAAAGAACCCAGTGGAAGGGACCAGGGATCCTGATGATCAAGACTTGTCACACTCTAGTCCTGAAGAGCCTACCTCTAATCCTTGTTCACATAAGATAGAAATAAGTTTCTATTTTTTTAAAACTCACAATATCTGAGTGTCATATTATTCACAACCAGCATTAATTCTAGCCAATCCCTAAGGCTTGCTATGTATTAAATAATAAGATCAAAATTGGAACCACTGAGATAATGGTTAAAATGTTATAAAATAAAATGGAAAAAGCGAAATTTCAATGCTTTTCTTTTTAAATTTTTTATTTGTAGAAGGACACAATGCCTTTATTTCATTTATTTATTTATTTATTGCAGTGATGAAGGTCTAACCCAGTGCCTCACATTTGCTAGGCAAATGCTATATCACTGAGCCACAACCCCAACCCTTCAATACTTTTCTTTAAAAGATATATCCATATATAGAATTGAGGAGAACTGGCCAAGTAATAATTTCCATATAAAAGACTTGTGCATGTGAGGAGAGGAGAGTTGGCAGACACAAATATCCTGTGGGTAAATAGGGTAATAAGACTGTTTAAGGCTAATGCATGCTAGGCTAAGTTAAATTTTACCCAGACCAAAGCAGGTTAGTACTCTCAATTCTCCACACTGGCACAGCACATTGGAGTATTGTGTTCTTTTCCAGGCCCCATATTCTTTGGAAGGAGAGCGACAAACTACAGCTGCTAATGGAAGGGGCTGTGAAGTATTATCCCAGAGAGGGAAAGATGCAGAGGACACTTAATCATCACCCCTAGATATTCAACGACTGGTCACATGGAAGACAGAATATGACTGCTTATTCACTTCTGCTCCCAGGCTCCCAGGTAAGGGTCACATTTACCACCAATGAATGAAAGGTACTGGGGGCAAGCTTTGGCTCCACTTAAGTAATGTCTCAATATCAAACACTACCTCATGTGTTAAGTTCAGTCATCATCAAATCACAAGTGCTCACTCAAATTCACAATAGTTAAGCTATGGAAACAACCTAGATGCCCTTCAACAGATGAATGGATAAAGAAAATGTGGTATATACACACAATGGAATGTTACTCAGCCATAAAGAAGAATGAAATTATGGCATTTTCTGGTAAATGGATGGAACTGGAGACTATCATGGTAAGTGAAATAAGCCAACCCCCCAAAACCAAAGGTCAAATGTTCTCTCTGATATGGGGATGCTGACTCACAATAGGCCAGGGATGAGGGGGGGAAGAAAGGAGGAGTGGGGGTTCACTGAGTTGGACAGGGGAGAATGGGGGAAAGGGAGGAGGTATGGGAATGGGAAAGGCGGTAGAACGAATCAGACATAACCTCCCTATGTTCATATATGAATACCCAACCAGTGTTAACTCCACATCCATCATGTTCTACCCCAAGAATGGGAAGTTCCATGTATGTTTCATATCATACATGCTTCATGTATGTTTTTCCTAACTCTAGCAATAACAACAAGACTCTGTGTGGTATGGCAGGAGAAAAACCCACTGGACTTATCTAGGGCCCTGAAGGTAACAAAAAAAATCATGAAACAAGTAGAGAAACGGATCAGAACATCTACATTTAAATTTTGAATCTTCAGCTTCCTAGTTGTAGGGTCTGGGACAGGACATGGAGTCTGTTTGAACTTTACTTTCTTCATGAGTAAAACCCAAATAATTATGAACAACTTTCAGGGTCGTGATGGCTAAAAATAAATATCTTAAGCCCTGTTAATGACAGGTACTCAAAACTGGTAGTCACCATTAACTGCTGGCTAAGATGTGAACCCAAGGCAGGTATTTTTTGCAGCTTGGTAGTTAGAAAAATTTAAACACTAGAGATCTTATAGGATTTAAAGGAGAGATTGAAATGCATTTAGTCTATGCCTCATTTTTATAATTTTTGTAATGTTTTATTTAGGAATTGTCTAGAATTTTAAAACTTTATTCTTTTGGATGAAATATATATCATAAGGACTGGGAAACTGAAAAATCATATTTCCCAGACACATGGAACCTTAGGGTTGTGGGTGTGTTTTTGATGTATTCCTGCAAGACTAAATTAGTGAAAAAATAAAGAAAGACTGTGCTATACAGGAGGTGGCATGCGAGTGTGGGAGAAATAGAGATTAATAAACAATCTTCTGCACCAACCCTGAAAATCTCTGCACAGAGAAGAAAACTGAATTACTATTGAATAAGCCTTAACTAGAATGCAATACACACTGTGCAATTTACTAGAGTTTGCAAAGGCAGAAAGAAATCTCATCTTTTAATATAGCCAAGCAGAGACAGCCCATTCCACCTGTTTTCAAGAAACAACTTGTGTGCAAGCAAAAAGACACTTTGGCACTGTTTATCACACATAGTTGATCCAAATTTCACCTGCTGTTGGGCTTGCCACCTGCGTTTGCTCATTGCTGTTAGCCCAAGGAAAACTGAATGTCTTATATCTTCATGACAGGAGGTAGCTTTGCAGCTCAGAAACAAATGCCTGAGTTTTCTGTCTCCCTGTACCACCCCCATCCCACTAAAGCCTGAGAGACAGAGGCTCTCGCTTCCTTGATGGTTACATTTCAGAGCTGGTTTTCATGTCCTTGAGAAACATTTCTGGGTTATAAAATTGGTAAGAATCTTATTCATTATTTAAAGAGTTACAAATATTTCAAAAAGGCAGAGAAATTATGATAGGTTTTCTAAAATAAGTACTCGAAGGGAGAGAAATCACTTTTTTTCTTGGTACTATATAGTCCTAAATCCAGTAATTAAAAATTTTAATAACATATATAAGCTTCGAATTAGTCAATTTTTATTACTAATTGTATTTGTTAGCCTCTCATTACTATAACACAATTCTTGAGATCATCAGCTTCTAAAGGGAAAATGCTATTTTGGCTCACAGGTTTGAAGTTTCCTCTTCATGACTGGTTGACCCTGCTGTTTCAGGCCTGTGGTATCAGAACACATCATGGCAGGAGCACTTGGTGGAGCAAAACTGCTTGTCTCATGGTCTTGAAACAAGAGACTCAGGTGGAGATGCATCTCCTGATCCCCTTTGATGACATTGCCCTCTATGATCTAAAGACCTCTCACCAGGCCCCACCTCCTAGAGGTTTCACCACCTCCCAATAGCACCACCCTGGAGAACAAAGCTTTGTGCTTTGAGGGGACATTTAAGATTCAAACTATAGCACCTGGCCTTTCATAAACATTGCTTTCTGTAAGGGAGCAATTTGAAGGACTCACTTACTATACACTTAGTCTCCTACACATATGTAAATTCATATCTATGTGTTCACTTTGAGAGGAATGTTATAATTTTTTGAGTTTGTTTTAGGAAGAGTTTGTCTCTTTATGTATATTTGAATAAAAGTAATGAATATGAATGTGATATTTCTTTTCTGTGCATATATTCTTAGAATTAAGGGATGTAAATTAAAACTACACGAAGATAACACTAACTCCCCAAGAACAGTGACAATTTAAAATAACTGATAATTCCAAGTGTTGATAAGGATTCAGAGCGTTGGTAGTGATACACAATCTCTTTGGAAAAATTATTTTATGTCTACAAAATTTGATCAGATTCATTCTCTATGACATTTATATTCTGAGGCATCTAACAGAAATGCACATGTACACCAAAAGATATTCAAGAATGTTTAAGATGATACCATCTGAATAGGCTCAAGCTGAAAACATTTCAAACTTCAGTAAAGAATTGATGAATAAACAAATTGTGATATATTTATACAATGGAATAATGCAGCAACAAAGCAAATACCTCTACACGCAATAACCTGGTGGACTTCAGAAATATAACGGTGAGCTATAGAACCCATATACAAAATAATACATAGTATATAGCTTCATTTATTTTTATATATTTGTACAGAATACGAAAAATTATTCTGTTGTGTTAAAATTCAGGACAGTTGCTCTTTTTTGAGAGGTGAGGGAGATACAGCTTGAGACGGGGTGCAAAGGTATTTTCACTTGATTCCTAGTAATATTCAATTTCTTAACTTTGTTGGTGTTTTTATGGATGTGTTCTTTTCATGCTAATCCTCTACAAAGTACCTTTATGGTTTGTATACTTTTCTAAGTGTATAATTCAATAAAATGTTTATTTAAATATGGTCAAACTATTAGGTATGAATAAAACAGTCTTACAGATATTGCATTTCTGGTATTACTATAAAATATGATATGAGGGGACTCATAAATTAATTGTAACATATATGGAAAGATTTCCCCTTAAGAAAATCTGAATCAAAGAAATCCACATTTATCAAACAAGGAAACCAGGAGGAGTTATTTATATAATACTGAATGTATCCTTTAAGGAATGAGTCTTTTTGTGCCTTAACATACAATGTGATTTTCGAATATTTTATTCCAGCATTCAAGAAGAAAATCTATTATATAATTTTTAAAAGTAAATTAAGTTTTTCATCTTACCTCTATATATTTTCCCCTGCATATTATTCTTATTAGACTGTCCTGGAATGTGATTATCATCTTTAATATCAGCAATGTGCCGTTGCATTTGCATTATGCTTAATAGTAACAAATGGTTTTCTCATTGATTGCACAAAAAGCCTCAAAGTTAAGGAAGTCAGTGTTAAACTGAAATTAAGTTTGGTTTAAGCCTGTCTTCCTACTCAATTGACAAAGTGGCCCAAAGCAGCCTCTATATACTGTGAACCTAGCTTGGTGTGCAAATTGAAACCTAACATTTGTAACCAAGCAACTGAGTTTCAGCCAATCATAGCAGCTGAAATTCCAGCCAGAGGCTGAAAAAGAGAAAAACATGACCATCTAGACAAATGCCAACTGTAGCCAATCAGGTTGTTTCTGTATTTGATGTTCTTTTTTTCTGACTATAAATACAATCTGTACATGGGGCAGGTGAGATAGGGCAGGGTGGGCATTTTGAACTATCTTTGGTCTGGAATCACAATGCCTGCTTCTAGAACTTTTTTTTTTTTGCTCATGTAGACTTTGTTAAGTTTAAGTAGTCTCCAGTTTCTTCTTTAAACAGCACATATTAGTCTTATACTCTGCATGAGCCAACAGACTTGAAATGACTGTGAGATTTCCCTAATATCCTCCTGCTCATAGAAAGTGAAGCTGCACCCTAGTCTGGCCATGTCACTTCAGCAGTCCCTGAATATATTAGGTTTCTTGGTTGTAAGCCACAGAAACCAGCTCTGATTATCCTAAGGCAAATAAAGGAAAAAAAAAAAGAGAAAAAGAAAGAAAGGGGGAAACAAAAAAAAAAAAAAGAGAAAACAAAATCAAAATATATTAGAAACATACCAAATATTTGGGGTTCAAACATTAAAAGGAAGCCGGGGGCACTCGTGGTGGAAAATTGGCAATTACCAGGCAGCTCAGTTATAGGCAGCTTCAGAAACTTGGCATCAAGACCTGTGATGCAGAAATCATCTGGTTTTGGGGATGGCTCCAAATCCAGAGAGATTGTTTTTTTTCTTTCTCAGAATTCAAAGTCTTAGGCAGGAGTCCTTACTGGCTGAGTTCCTACCCACTCCTTGACTAAAGTAAGGGGCTAGAAAAAATTTGGGTCTTGGGTGAAAGTGATCAAGATTGGGGAATTTCCAAAATGCGATGTTAGAATCAGGGACATCCCCCAAGGGGAATCTAGGGCACTCTTTTGAGTGAGTTTTTAGATGCTGAAGGGTCAAGAATCTGGTAAACCTCTTCTATAATATTTGTCTTCTTATTGGAGAAAGCACCAAACAGAGGATTCATGTCACCATCTGGAATGATGATCAAGGTGAATGTCTAAAGGCTGGTATTAGTGGAACAGTGTAACCAACTTCAAACTGAGCAGGCATTCAAGGTTGGGCTACCTGGTGGTTCCCACTGCCTTTGCAGCCTTCACTGAATACAGAGAACTGTGCTTTTTAAAACTGGCTCCCACATTTACTTTCTAGGGTGAATTGATTCTCGTCTTAACTATTGAAATACAAAATGACTGCATGTCAATCATTCTAAAGATTTGACAGGGTGGAACCAACAGAACAATAACAGCAGAAAAGCTAACGAGTACCTCAGAGGATAAGAAATAGCAATCTATAAAGAAGTGGCAACGAGACATCAGATGCTGTCAGTGAAGCAGCTGGAATAGTTTAGGAAAACAGGTGGAATTTTAAGGGGTATTAGTTTGCTAGAGCTGCCATAACAAAGGGCTATAAACTGGTTGGTTTAAATAACACATCATTTTTTTTTTCCCTCCAAATTCTGTAGCTTAGAAGCCCAAGATTAAAGTGGGCTTCTGAGAACTGTGAAGGTGAATCTGTTCAGGCTTCATTCCTGGCTTCTGTTAGGTTGCTGGTAATTTTGGCATTTCTTGGCTTGTGAATGCATTGCCCCTATCTTACCTTCATGCTCACATGATGTTTTCTCTGCATCTATTCCTATGTCCAAATTTCCCCTTTAGATAAAGGCACAAATCATATTGGATAAGGCCCAAGTCTTACCATCTCATAACTTGATTACCTCTGTCAAGACCCTATTTCCAAACAAGGTCATATTCTGAAGAAGGTGGTTAAGGTTGAAACGTGTTTTGGGGAGCACACAATTCAATAGGGAGGATGCTTATTCATCAAGAGCAATATTTTGTAGTTTGTAGTATCTTTTTATGGGGACCAAAAGGCATGTTCTGTACTGTCCCAGACATAAAGAAGAGCTTCATCTGTGAGGCAGTCAGGGATTTTTCCAGGCTCAACTGTCAATGTCAAGATGGCAGGTGTGGTGCACACCTGTGATCCCAGCGACTTTGGGAGGCTGAGGCAGGAGGATTCCAAGTTCAAAGCCAGCCTCAGCAACTTAGCAAGGCTTTAAGCAACTTAGCAAGACTCTGTTTCAAAACAAAAAAGGGCTGGGGATGTGACTTAGTCACAAAGTGTCCCTGAGTTCTGGGGATAGAGGAGGAGAGGTTGTAGACATTATGTTCTGAGGTCAGACTCTTATTAATTCTGCTAAACTCCCAGTTTCATCTGCAATGCATAAAGTTCTTTCCTAGGAAAATATTGATACTATGTAACACAAAAATTTTATTTAGAGTTTTTGTTTATTTCAATCTTAGTTTTCCAAAGCCTTGAGGATTTTGCTATCATTAATGTTTTTTTAGTCCTTTAATAGTATACTGCTAGAGGTTGTTATAGATTAGAAATTTAATAATAGCTAACATTTATTAAACAATTATTATGTGCCAGGAACATAAAAGCTTTATACAGAATCTCTCATTTAGTTCTCAAAACAATCTCATTTTATATTTTAGAAGGTCAAGGATATAGAATGCTATGAATTTCTCAAGGTCGTGGCTATTTACAGTGAGGGTAGGACTTGATTCTGCCTGGTTCTGAAGTTCACGCGTCACCATTTACAGTATTACTTAGGAAACCATTTCAATAAGTTGAGATTATCCCCAAATTTGCCTTTCACCTCTGCCTCCAAACCAGTAATTTTAAAAGCATTTAACTAGAACTCTGAAACATTGAGTGCATTTAACAGCCATATTATGCTGAACTGCTCTGGCTATCTTCTGGGGAAGCCATCAGTAAGGAAGAGTAGAGGAGGATTCCAGGAAGAAATATGGGGAAAGGAAAGGAGGAGGGGCTGGATAAGGTCATGGGACAACTTTTCAGCAAACAGCATGACTACTCTCCTCTTCCCTCCTGCCAGAAACAGACAGGAAAGGAAGTGAGGCAGAAGGAAACCTCTAGTCAGAAAAAGGGGCCAGAGGCTGGGCACAGTGGCACAAGCCCGTAATCCTAGCTGCTTGGGAGACTTAGGCAGGAGGATGAAGAGTTCAAAGCCAGCCCCTGCAACTTAGCAAGGCCTTAAGCAATTCTGTGATAACCTGTCTCTAAGTAATAATAATAATAATAATAATAATAATAATAATAATAACAACAATAATAATAATACAAAAAAGGGCTGGGATGTGACTCAGTGGTTAAGCAACCCTGGGTTCAATCCCCAGTACCAAAATAAATAAATAAAGGGAACCAGAGGGCCAGGCTCATAGCTGCCCCCTAAAAGCTACCTAAAGTGGTCCAGAACATTTAGAAGGAAAGTCGGAATATCAATTGGACCTTCATATCTCTGGGGTCTGCATTTGTGAATTCGGTCAACCATGGATTGAAGATCTATGAAAAAATTGCATCTGTACTGAATATTTTTCTAGTCATTATTCCCTAAAAAATATAGCATAACAACTATTCATATGTATTTACATTGTTTTAGGGATTACAAATAATATAGATGTGTTGTAAAGTGTACAGGAGTGGGTGTGCATAAGTTACTATGTCATTTGATATAAGCAACTTGAGTATGTGGGGATTTTGGTTATCTG